ACATGATAACAGTGTCATCTCCGTAACAACTTTCCCGACTCATGGCCTTTAAATAACGTTCATATAAGTGCTCGTCAGGTGTCGTGCTGACATCTTTCCCTCCTACATTCCGCACAAACAAAGCACGTGGTTCATTAATTCCAAGAACTATAGGAGTCCCTCGCATATATTCAACTAAAGCTTGTCTAAGAGCGATAGCGTTTGAGAAATCGGGATCATCCAGGCTGTAACATCTCGCACCTACGATTAAGGAAGGAAAAAGACAAGCTCCATCCATCGGAACCTCTTCTATTTCTTCTAAGCCTAAATCAAAATAGCTGACTGCATGCTCATCCCAATTCACAACTGCAAAGGCACAATATAACCGGAATCGTTCGAGTACATCTTCCAGCAAGTGATCCAGTTTATCTGCAAGTGATAAATTCCGAATTTCACTCAATCCATACATCATTGTATGCACACCGCAGGAGGTGTTGCCAGTCTGCTTCCGGCACGAGACACTGCGAACAGAGAAGCCAGGATACCTGGCAACTAACAGTCCTAGAATCTCATTCTCTAAATCTTCATCCCCGAAAGAATCGTAATAGCGAATTTCAGCACCACTACCATCAATAACACCTAAAGTCCAGTGTGCAGATCTGCAGAAAGGAAGAAGCCATATCTCATTTCTGGAAACGAAAAATTCCTTTGTTTGGTTTCTAGCGCCCAGACGTAGAACTCGTCTCCTTCTGATGTTGCCAGTCCCTTCTCTTCAGAGAGTTTTTCACTTTCCTTCAATAAACTAGTTTCATCCGTTCCAACAGGGAAGACTTCGTCGTTTAGGTCAAAATCAGCATCAGTTTCATTCGCAACGAACGCAACCGACGATGGCTGTTGCATCCACTGTGACCCCGGTTTCATGTTATTAATTCTACTGCATAACCTGGATGTTTCGCGTAAGACGTTCTCCGACATCCTTTTACTCAAGAGAACATAAAAAAGGGGGCGAAGAATTTCACTCGCCTCCGATAATGTCTCAACATTAACCAATAAGCTGTCATGCATAGAGAGGAAATTGAAGCCGCTTTCTAGGAAAGAATTTTCCGACATATTTCCTTAGGTCCTTCATAACGTGCCCCAAGCAAGCGTGGATGTTTGTTAAAAGGATTTCCTTCTCCTCTGCCTCCGGTAAAATTATTTAATTAATTAAGTAATTACAATTAAAGGAAATTATTCATTAGTAGATAAAATAAAAGAAACTGGAATTGGATGTTGGATTGGATTGGGAATTGGATGGAGAACGTTGCCTGTATAACTCTTCACCTCTCTCGCATTGGCGCATAAAACCAGGGCACAGTGCTTTCATGAAACGTAATTCGACGTACCTCAGGAGAGAGGGGGACTGTTTCTGGAATCCATGCCTGATTATGCGGGAGCAATGGCAGCCCAACGCCCATTTCCTGCAGGAGGCCAATGATTTCCTATAAAAGAAGGTGAATGCATGTTTCTCTGTCTTGAAATAACGGAAATGAGGACTAAGAAACTTGTGTGACTAAAAGAAATCCAATAAAATAAAAAAATTTTTATGACACCCATCATCCATCAACGTCCATCGTCCGCCAACTTTGTACGAGGAAGAAAAGGAGGATGAACCTCATGAAAGATTTAAAAAATGGAAGTGCACCCAAAAGTTCGCGAAAGCCATAAGTCCAACGATGAGATTTGGCATAAGAAGTCTTAGTGCCACACTTTCTGGCGAGGGATGGGCGAAAAGTGCATCGCGTATTTAGTCGTTCTAGGTCATGGAAACGTCAAATTTTGACACGTGGCAATTTTTTGCACAATCAGGACCGGGCAGAAATATGAACCCATGGCACTAAGAGGGTTAAGCATGTATGAATGAGCTTCAATTAGGTGCATCATTTATTAAGAATATCACCCTTCCCCTTCTCCTTCTGCAAATATGAGATGTACGCTCAGGAATAACAAAACAGAGAAGAAAGGAGAGGGCAGACTGTCATGTCTGCAAAAAGCTCTGGCCGGGATTGGTGCGCTCAATGAGTGTAGACCGCTAAAAGCCGTATATCGTTAATTCCCCCCCCCCCTTGCTATCTGCCATTTCATTAAATCAAAATTTTCTTAAAGAGCTACGCGTTTTTTTCTCCTCACCTTCCATTAATCACATGAACAGCGTTCATGCCATGAGAATTTTTCAAATAGACAGGAGGTGTGTTTGGCCAACTTAGTAAAGATTCAAGACGTGAAAGGGAAAAAAAATCATTATTTCAGCATGAAAAGATTCCTGCCCACGAACTCGGAGAGAAACATGTAAGGTTTACTCTAAAGATGAATACAGAAATGGGGAGATTTACAATAGGAATACATTACAGGATAGTGCGACCAGCCACTAGAGAAAAAACTCACCCGAGTTTCCATCGGGACTAATCCTGCCATCGACGAAAATATATAGCGGATAAGGCATCACTTGCTCCAAAATCTCAGTAAAGTAGCGAATTTCGCGAAAATCACACGACAGCAGAGCAAGAAAAGGGTTTGCACTTCAAACGAAGACTGAAAGTATTGGGGGATGTTCTCCCAAGGCTTTTCGCAGGGAAAAAGAAAGATTATCCAAGAAAGTGAAAGCGAAAAAAACATCGTCAACGACGATAACGGTCGTATTGAAGCGCCTGTTTGCGCCAATGCAGAAAAACCATGGAAGTAAATTATCGTCGATCACGTATGTTGATTCAAGACAAGATTTTATGGCCATACTACAAACGAACAGGCGAAAGGGGTGGTCAAGCAAATAGGGATTGAAGAAGGCAGACGATAAGAGAGTCAAGAACAAGAGGGCAAATGGAGACGTTTAAGAGTCAGATAAAAAGACAGAAATTGACAAGTGAAGAAATTTTTCAGGAAGAAACGGTTCCAGAAGAAAAGCGCCCTATAAAAAGACATCATAAAGACAGTCCATTTGTATACATTTCATTTGCTCGAGAAGTGCAAGTTTCTATGAAAGCACCAAATTTTCTATAATAAAAAATAATAAAAATTTCTCACGCGGCGATGCAAGAGAGTTCCAATCTGTCATTTCACTTATGTCTAGTGAATCATTAGAGGAAGTGATTTGGAAATTTTCATCGACCTTGAAATGGTTTCATGGAGGGTATTTCCTTCGGAATCTGCGTGTCCATGAAAGCGCGATATTTTCTATCATTGTAAATTTAAAAAAATTTCTCAAGCGGCGATGCAAGAGAGTTCCAATCTGTCATTTCACTCACCTCAAGTGGGACATTAGGGGAAGTTATATATGCAAATTGTCATCGTCCTTGAAATGGTTTCAAGGTGTGTATTTGCTCGGGAATCTGCGTGTCCACGAAAGCGCGATATTTTCTATCATTGTAAATTTTAAAAATTTTTCTCGCGGCGATGCAAGAGAGTTCCATTCTGTCATTTCACTTATGTCTTGTGAATCATTAGAGGAAGTGATTTGGAAATTTTCATCGACCTTGAAATGGTTTCAAACAATGTATTTGTTCGAATACGGTCATGATGCACTGCCTTGAAAGTAAGGAAGGAGTCGCTTGTGTTGCACGTGCCGTGTCGGAGTAACTGACCGTGCAGGACTCTATTTGGTGTCCGCGTGTTGGTGCCAGCTTCAGCCTAGCGGGACCGCGTGCTAAGTCGCGTGCTCCACCGTGGATCTTCCAAATTTTATTGGGTTGATTGGATTTGATTTTTTAGTTCAGATTTCAGGGAATGGGAAGTGCAGGAGTACCCAAATATCCGCTGCATCTGAAGACTGACGTTTCTCTTGACTCGTGGAAGAAAGATGCACTCCATGTACTGCAGCACGTCAAGCCTGACTGGGATTCCTGCCTCGTTTGCTTCAAGGTGAACGTCGATTATAGCTATATCGGTTAATTCATTGAGGGAATCGCCAGTTATCCCAGTAGTAGACCTTTTCCCATTAATTTTTTTTTTTTTTTTTTCCCAGGAAAGAAAGTATTAGTGACTTCTAAGTGGAGAGGGTTTGACTAATGAATCAATTTTACTCCCCAAAAAAAGTGAGCAATTAGGAAATTTATTCCTTCACTGCTATAATACGTTCACTACTCAGTCTTCAGTCCCAAAGCATTGAAACAGCATCTTTGTGATGTGAATTTAATTTCACCCAGAGGATCCTTGACACCAGTTTAGTCAGCTTTTTCATACACACTTCATCCATGACTGAGGCTTCCAATACACTAACTATTGTGTATAATTATGTATAATTCTGTGGATACTATAAAGCAGAGCTATAGTCAAGATCAGTGGAAATACAGTGAGAAAGTAAGTGGCATGGCCTGACAAGTCACTTTTGACTTTCCATATATCTAATATGGTTTTCTCTAAAGCTCACCAACTGGCACAGGAACACATTTCAATCTTTATGTTGCATTTTATTTTATTTTTCCACTTTTGGCTTGGAAAACTTATGAACATAATTCAACCCTGGTGACTGAACAAAAACCTTAAACAGTATTTGTAGACTTAGTCAAGTGGGTATAGGCTGATCCTGTTCTTCAATAATCCCCATGTCAATGCATGACATCTGGTATCTGTATCAATGTGTCTCTTGTGGGAAAAAAAGGTTATGAAAAGCTAAATTTTATTGTCAATGCTATGAAACTAATTGAAGATAGACAGAAGAGAACTTAAGAAAAATGGCTACACAAATTTTCCTGTAGTGAAAGAAATCGGATTGATACTGGGATTGTCTTATTATTACAACTTCTGTTATATTTTACATTAAATTAAGGAACCAGTCATTGCTATTTATTGATTACTAGAAAACATAAGTCATTACACATTGCGGTAATTTCCCAGCCCTGTTGGGTCTACCTCTGGTAGAGGTATATCTCTGGTATAGGCCTAAAATAGCTTTTCTTATGAAAATTTTAGCAGCTTGTGGAGAAAGAGGCTAATGAAATAAATAAAAGGAATTAGTATGAGAATTGTTTAACAACTAAAACTCTACGTCACTGTAAAACAAAAAACCCTGAGCCCAGTTCATTCCAACTATCTTGTCATGAAGTGAATTGAATAAGATTGTACATTTCCAGATTTGGCATGTGCACCTAATACTCAAAATTCACTGAAAAACCTATGCAGCATATCCAACACTAGATAAGAACTCTATTCAAAAAGTATAGTCTCTCAAATTAACTGTAGCCTCTTGCTGATTGTTTCTATGGATCCATCATAGAATGATATACAAAAGCATCAAGTCTAAATTCATCCTTATATTGCTAATTGTTTCTCACTGACTGCAGTTGTCGAGCAGCTTCATAAACAAACTGCTATTTTGGTAAGAGAGATTGTCAAATATAGGCAGCAGTCTCAAACAATCACAGTCTTACTTGATTTTTGTCAAACAATATGAGCAAGACTGGTTAGCAAGTAGTTCCCAACCAAGTTTATGGCATCAGATTGTTTTGACTTAAAGACCAGTTCAGTTTCAACTTCTACAAATATCTTTGGTCTCTATCTGCATAGGAGTTTAATGCTGGCATCACAAACAAGGTAGTGGGGATGTATCTACCTGAAAGAAAGGATGACATGGTCTTGCTGCGCATATATGGCAAAGGCACAGAGAGTTTCATAGATAGAGATGCTGAAAAGGACAATATTACTGTGAGTGCCCTGAGAATCTGTCACATTGCCCAATTATTTAGGAAAGGACTGACTTTCCTTCAGATCCAATTTTGTTTACTGGTAGCTCCTCCATGAAGCTGGCTGTGCTCCTTCATACTATGCATCTTTCAAGAATGGACTTGCATATGCATATGTTCCTGGTCTGACCACAGATGTTCATACTGTTCGAAGTCCAGAGGTTTGTTACATGTTTTCCTATTTCCCCCATTTCTAGGCACAGAGATGAGACTTTCCTTATGACTTTTTGCTTCTTTCTTGAGTCCAGGTTATGCCTATGATCTGTGATATGTTGGCAAAAATCCACTGCATTTCACTGCCTTATAATGGAATGCCACAGTCTTGCCTTTGGAAGAGGTTCAATGTTCTCCTAGATCTTTATCCAGACTCATTCAAGGAGCCTGAACGACAAGAAATGTGAGCTTTGTTCATCCTTAAACCCCAATAAGTTTTGTCTGAGGTAGTCAACTCAGCAATTTTTGCAGTTTCCTGAGAGAAGTAGCTCCAAAGGGCAAACTAGTAGCCGAGATGGAGGATCTTCAAAGTAAACTTGGAAGCAGCACCTCACCTATAGTATTTTGTCACAATGACCTCCTTCTGGGTAACATCATCTATAGCAAAAAATCCAGCTCAGTGACTTTCATTGATTATGAGTATGGAGGTCTCAACTACCAGGCCTTTGATATCGGCAATCATTTCTGTGAATATGCTGGTGAGTTTGCAATATGGTCATATCTTCCTAAGGCTTTCCCTTCTTGTCAATTACAACCCTTTCTTTAAAGGTGTGGAGGATGTAGACTACAGCAGGTACCCAGACCGAGACCTGCAGCTCAAATGGCTCAGACTGTACTTGATGGCATTCAAGAATTATTCTGGACAGGATGAGAAGTTCGCTGAAGAGGAAGTGGAATCTCTTTATGTTCAAGTGAATCAGTTTTCATTGGCTGCCAACCTCTTCTGGGGCATCTGGGCCATCATTCAAGCTCATCATTCACTCCTGGATTTTGATTTTCTCAGGTGGCTATTAGTTGAGGCTCTCATATTTGTGAGGAAAAAATGTTATTTTTTTCAGTTTTATATCTTCAATCAAGTGTTTGGTTAATAGTTTTAACTGCAATTAGACTCATCTTGAATTGAGCTCAACAGGATTTCATTTGACTTCAAAGCTAGGCCTGCCATGAACTTGTCAGAGTCAAGTAATAACATTTAAAACTAATTTTAAAAATCAGTTTAAAATTTTCTAAATGGTTCCTGTGAACCATTTTTTAGTATTTTGATGGTTCCAAATCTTTTATAAGGTTCTCTTACCTTGTGTCAGTAGATGCAACAGACATGTATCAACTAAAACAAGGATAGATTTAGTTATGAGTGTTCTACATAGTGAAGGTGTGTCTATGCACATAATGAAAGTGTCTCAAAATGCCATAAGAAGTCAGCTTTCTGAGGGTCTGGTTTTACATTTATAGGGGAATTCAACCAATTGGAATCTTTTTTTTTTTTTTTTCTTTTTATTCTTCCAGATGTGGTTCTTATCAGAATATGGACACAAGCTGAAAGTGTTGACTTTTTATTCTCAGGTATGGAATTCTTCGGATGAATGAATATTTTCAGAGGAAGGAAATGTTCCTGAAGCTGCAGCCCAAGGATCCCATCACCTACAGCTGATGATCCTCCTGCACCAAAGCTGCTTAGTTGCACCACAATGTGAAAACAATTAAGTTTGTGGATAGGGTTTCAGGGATACTCACCAAGAGCTTTTATCTTGATATTGATATGCTTGCATTTTATCATTCTTTGACCAAGGCTACAGCTAGAGTTCAGGCAGTTTTTCCCAACAAATCTCTCTAGAAAAACTCAGAACTGTAATATTGATGGAATGACAGAAGTTTTAGATTCCTGAAGGTGCACCACCACCATACCATGTTGTCCTGAGATTGTTTTTGGCCACATGGATGGATACCTGTCTTCTGCTAGTCAATGGCATCACTGCAAAATAACTACTCAAACCACATATTCATCTTCCAGCTATTGGGTGCTGTCCTTGTCCAAGGAAATTGTAGGAATCATGACAATGAACACAGGGAGAAAAAAATCAGGCAATTGATGATTGAATGCCCTACATTTATGTAGGGTGAAATTTTCTCAGTTTTCTTTTCTGGCACTTACTCTGCAAGATCTTGGAGAAGAATGCTTACTGCCAAATGCACATGTATTGAACAGGACCCTTGCCAACTCCTGGTGCACCTTAATGAAGATAATGTCCACTGTAACTTCAACAGATCAATGAAGCTTGAGAATGGAAGAAATAGTATTTTAAAAACTGCCTCAACTCAAGTTTTACACTTGTATTTTACATTCCGCTTTTGACTCAACAATATGAAGTTGTTTTACGTATAAAATGGAATATTTTTTCATTTGGCCTCCTAGATTTTGAATTATATTTTAATTGACTTGTGATAAGATTCTAAAGTGTTTGATGGTATTTCTCTTCATGTTCAGCTGGAAGTGCATCATGCCACTGTGATAATATATTGGCCCTCTCTCTTTCAGCTTGCTATGTGAATGCATGTACCTGATATCAAACTAGTTACTAGAAAATATTTCATTCAGTTCTGAAACATAAGCACCTTGGTTTCACTGCATAGAAAGCTGAGAAAGGATATTTAGTCCTATTATAAAAGTCATGGACATCTTTCATGGCTGTCAGATAAGTTTAGCTCAAGTTCAGCATAATATCTGCTGCCACTAGCATCTTATTAAATGTCATGGGATGATCAGAAGAGTGGAGAGCCTTGATATGTAATGGAGGCAGCTCTCTGGTGCTCTCCTTTCCTCCACCTTCCATGTCATAGAATATAGTCAATCTGCAATATATAGCCCTATTCATTCTTCCCAATATTAAACCTATGCTGTTTGTTCTGTTTTGTATATTTCATTATGGATGTGTACATCCACGGGTACTTCACAGAATAAATATTTTGCCTAAAATTCTTATACCTTGAATTGCTCTGTATCCACTCAGAGAAAGATGCAGAATATGATGCACAAATAGTTTAATATCATGCAGTAGGAAGAAAAATGCAAGACTGGAATGAGAAACATTCAACACTGTTTGTACCTAGAAAAAAAAAAACAAAACAACTTTAGCAATGAATATTCCAGAGTGGAGTCCAGTTGTCATGTTCAAGAATCACATCAAGGATGGGTATAGAACAGATGTATCACATTTGACAATCTCAGAGGATCCCATTGGTCAGATACTGGAATCCATCGTATAGCCGAGTGGAAAGTGAATGAAAGGAGCTTTCCACCATGTTGTCTATCAACAGCTGGAGCTGTTCTTCTGTCAAGGACATGTGAAATCGATTCCTCATGGCTTGAATGGTGGCTGCTCCACTCTTGAAGCATGGCAACTGAGACCCACATCTCATGATTTCAACCAAGGAGAGAATGGAATCTGAATGCTTTCGTGCCGCAACAAGACCCTGCAGCATGAGGATTTTGAAATACTCAAACATATCAGATCCCAAACCTCCCATCACTTCAACAAATTCTTGAGTTAGCTTGAAAGGACTGGATTCAAAGCCCAAGTTCTTTGGGGATGCTGAAAGGATGAAACCAAAGTCTATGTGTATCAAATGTCCCTGGTTGTCGAGTAGGATGTTCCCATTATGCCTATCTTTCACCTGGATCAAGTAACAAATGAGGCAATAGGCTGCACAGCTCTGGACGAAATTTTTCTGGGCTGCAAGGAATTCTTCTGATGCTGGAGGGCCAAATTCAGAATAGAAGTATTCCAGGAGTGTTGTCTGACTGTGTTTCTTCACCTGATGAAGACTCACTGTGTGTAGAATAGGTTCAATGAACCCACTGTCCTTGGAAAGCACTATGATCTGGTAAGGCCTCACAAACAGGGGAACATGTTCTGTTTCCCATATGTGTTGCAGATTTGTGAGGACCTGCTGTGCCATCAACTCCTGTCTCAAGTCATCTCCACACTTAACAATTAATGCAAGAAGATGCCAATTGGATAGGTGACCATATGGAGAGCTCTCACGGACACGGGCAACTTTTTCCTCCCATGGCTCCTTCAGAGCAGCTGCTGATGGGTCTTCGGGGTCCCTTCTGAAGGAAGACGTTTGGATATGAGTATTGTCAAACAGTCTCTTTCGAATATCAGCAGCTGCAATGTATACAGGTGACTCAGTGGAGGTGACACTGTCAATGCTGAGTTGACTGAGTGTATCTCGCTCTGTAATAGGTGCCCTTCTCGTGTAGGCGAGAGAGATCTCGTCATCATCTTGAGACCAACAGTCGGCATTTTCAATGTCCAAGTTTCCCACAGTGGTGAAACTGTTGTAGGATGGTGGCATGCTCTCTGGGACTGACCGACTGTCACCCAGATTCTCTTCTGACCGTACATGCCTCAGGGTACAAGAAAGCTTTGGATAGAGAGGTGAAGTATGAATGTTCTCCACTTCGAGTGCCTCCACATAAATCAGGTATGGGGCTTTGTCTTTAGAATTGAGGACAACACCAGCCTGAGGTGGAACACGGACAACATGATGCTGTGAGAAATTCAAAGGGACCCACACCCGGGCAGGTAGGTTCAAGTTCAGGTTTGAAAGCTCACCAACCAATCGTTCTGTCTTGGCTTCTTTAGATTTCATTGCAGAAAGTCGTTTTCCAATTGCAATGAGACACTTGACAAACTCCAGCTCTGGAGAAAGCCTTGGGGCTCCACATGTACAAGACGTTTCATAACCCTTCAGATTGTTATATATACCCTGATTAGATGTAAAGCAAGTGCATCCATTGTCAAAGGCACGCCCAGAACTCAAATCACCCAGATTCCTCGTTCCATTCTCTTTAACAGGCCATGTTTCAGTTGCACTTTCGGGAACGACCATCATATTTGAATGCACGATGTCAGATCTTGACCTCTGATGTTTCTTCTTTGTAGAATCTTCTGACTTGATAGCATGACTTCGTAGCTGTTTGAAGTGACATTGCACTTTCGGCCTCAACTGATCTGTCAGGATGAGGTTTCGTAGTTTGGTTGCATGAGTCTTGCGCTTAGAACCTGGTGACATGGAACCGGGAGAATATGCATCAAGAAACCAAGCTGTCTTCAAGGAAAACTCCACAGAAGACCTGCTTCTGTGAACCAAGTAAGGATGAAGTGCCTCAGCCATCTCAGGAATTTGGACATACATATTGATGATCTGGGGCATATAGAAGTCCACATCAGAGCTATCAAAGTCAAACATCTTGTTCACAATGTACATGAGAACACCAGGTTCCTTGGATTTGAATAAGTAGTGGATGGCCAATGACATGTTGAAAAGCTTGCATTCAAAGAGGCGCAGTAATAATGATTCTTTCTTCTGAGGTGGCACTTCCTGCTGTGCATCCCCCTGACCAGACTGAGTATTGGCTGGTTCCTCAAGGATGGTATGCTTAGACAATGACCGGATCCCCCCCTTTTCACTCACATACCCACTCATGATTGGTGCTGTCACACCATTAGATGCACGACTAGCCATCACAGCAGTGAACCACTCTCAATGTCAGGCTCTGGTTACTTTCATCTTGATCATTTGGATCACAATTGAAAAAAATATCAGGTTTCCTCATCTCTGCTTATAGGCCTATTTCATGGTACCTTCCCTCATATCACAGACATATGACAACACTTGGCCTATTTGCTAGACCCTCTGCTACATTTTGAACCTGCAATACAGAATCCAAAAGTAATCTGTCAGAAAATTATTCAGTTGATATTGGCAGTTGAAATTTGACTTTCTAAGAACTATTGATCTCCAACAGCCCTGGACATTATAAAACAAAATCCTACACACTCAATTTAAAAATGTATGAACCCATCTTAACCCTCATTGGTGTCAGCTTGAAAATAAAGTGAAGGCTATCTGGGGTCTCTTTTGACCCCCTTCTGCATCTGACTACATTTGACTAGATTCATAGCAGCAATGAGAGTCAGATAAGGTGATAACCATTTTTGAGCAGTATAATACATATGCAAACAAAAAATATCCCAGTGAATCATGAAACATCCTTTACTTATTTGGGTTATACAATACATTGCTTGCGATAACTTCAAGAGATCTCATCCACATAGGGTCAAAAAAGACCCCAGACAGCAAGGGAGGGTGCAACATAAGTGCAACATGCTACAGTCAAATAAGCAGAGGCAAAATTTGTTAGGCTGAAGATAAAGAATGAAGAGGAAGCAGTCTAACATATTTTCTGGAGATAATAGCACTGTTAGAAAATTGAAACTTGAAATAAAAACTGGGCAAGTAATTTGTTACACATTAAATTTGCTCTTAGTGTCTCAGTAGTGTCTCAATGACCTAACCTTCAGTGACCTAACCACTGGCCTAATAGATACAGAATTGAAAATGTTAGACGTGACTTGTATCATAGACCAGTAACCAAGGTCTACCTACACAAGTTATACCTCAGATATGGATTTTGGCTGATGCACTATAAAACTCATCCCAGCACATGAACTTTGGGCAGTCCAATGACAATACTCCAATCCCATGGAACTATGCACTGAATTCCTACTAGATTTTAAAAAAGTGATTAGTTGATTAATTATTTAGTTTCACCATATGTTCTAAATTAAATGAAGCAAAAAAAGTTCATTTCTACTTCAGAACTTCTATAAGCAGGAAAATTGGAAGCGTTTTCAGAGGATCAAAGCATTCAGCAGAACTTAAAGGATATAGCTTTTGGTGTTAAAGCTACCTTGGATGCTGAATTTGGAGGTAATTCTAAGGAATATCAACAAGGTCCTAGTTATGAGTGAAGTTCTTTCCTTCTTGCAATACCTCTAATGTACTCTTCAGCCCATATATAAGGTCATTCTTTCAAAGATTTGGAATGGGTACAGTGTTCTCAGGAAAGACTTGTTGAAATGACCTTTACATATGTGGATACAAACTGTCTATTCAATACTTGAAGGCACTCACCACAGAATTCTCTCTTCCATGTGTCAGATCTCTGGGAATAAGTTTTTGCCACCCATTTTCCAGCCTGTGTAAAATATCTGAAATTAATGACTCTTCTCCAAGGTCAAAATGTAAGATCAATTGCAGCAAGCACTGTTCAAATCGTTCTGGAGAGCTCCATGACAACTGTGTTCTGGGATGAGTGATAAGCATTCAGTCACTAGCAAACAACCTGACATCTGTGGAAATGCCTTCATTGTTTACATTCATAAAAGCTAGAAATAAGGAGGGCCTCAAGATTGATATCTGGGGTAAACCCAATTTCACAGACTTCTATTGAAAGTGCAAACCAATTACCATCATATTTACTACAGCCAACTAAAAATTTCCTTTAAAAAAAGGTCAAAACATTGAAATTTCAAAAGATATGACATTTACAGGGATCAGTACCATTTAAAGCCAAGGTAAAGTTGAAGACAATAACATGATTAAGCAGCTGAGGTCCATTGCATTTTCCATTCCTCAAGTTTGCAGTAAAACATGCATTAAATAAGTGGAGAAGTAGACAGCTAGTTTCAGATTATATAACATACTGATGTATGAATTACTGACATGATTTTCAGATAAAGGCCTATCTCTAGTTTAGCACATGGGGGAGATAACTTCCACTCATTCATAGAAAACATATCATCATCTAATAGTCATGCTTCCTTCCTGCTTTGCTGATCCCATAGATCCTGTAAATAGGTTCTATATTATCTTTCAAAGCAACTTGGGCTCACTTGATTTGTCTAACAGCTTTATCAAATGTAGAGCACTTTTCTGGCCTGAGACGAAGATGTTTTGGTCCTTTGCTGTGATGAGAGATGCGAACTAAGCATTTAATGCCACAATTTCATTGGAATCTGGGCAAGCCATCAACTTCAGTAGTGTCAATGATTTATAAATCCCAATGGAAGAGTTTAAGTGCTTCATATAGGAGTTATGGATGGCTTTTATTACCAAAAAAATTGAAAATATCTGGTCACTGGTGCTAGGAGATACAAGCGAGGGCAATCCTGTATCAAGATATTCTTGCAACGTTCTGGCACCAGGTCATCAGATTTACTCGGGCTAGCCCAGTCCTAACGTAAAGCTTCAAAATTTTAGCATAGGCCTAATGAAGGCTTTTTTTTATTATTCTTATGACAGATTAGACACAGCGTCCAACAGCCCAACGTCTCGATGCAGTTAGCACTAACGACGGGAACAACCTAAGAACAGAAATGAACCAAAATGAAGACTGAAATACAATCGAGGAAATGATCCATATGAGAGCCCATGAGATGTGACCGTTGAGCTCCCTTGGATCTCCAGAAACGAATGGAACCGATTGCGAAACCCTGCCATGTGGTCGTCCGTGACCGCAACGTAGCGAAACGATCATTTCGTTCGTCGTAAAGTATGTATTACTGCGAGCTTCCATTCCGGAAGCAGTGTTGAAGAAACGTATTTTCTCTTGATAACTATAAATTGTGAATTTCGATGGAAGGTCTCGCTTTGTGCGGCTTTTTTTTCACTCCGAGATTCCCATAATGTTCTAAATATATTTTCTTTGCGATTTCACTGCGATCGTTGCGAAAAGCTCACTCACAACTCACTCTGCCCCGTGGGCCTCACCGTGGAATGCCGAATCACATTTCCAAAAAAAAAACCGAGCTGCCTGAATGGGCGTGGTTCACTCGCCAGTTCGTTGCTCGGAATTCCTTGCTGCAGACACCGAATTCCACGTCGTTTGAAAGTCCTCTTCGTCACCTTCGTTCAAAGGGCAGATTGCGTTCCGACCGGCCGGCTGCTTCACCACTCAGTTTTTTTGTTTGTCTATTCCTCTGAATGATGAAATTCCCTGGCTCAAGATGGATCAAGTGTTCCATCCACTTCACTTATCGCTATGGACTCCACGCATTTACGTGATACAGTAATGCTTGAGGGACAAACGCCGAGAAGCAACTTTGAAGTAAAACTCCACAGAGCAAGTCTGCTGGAAAGATTCACAGTAAGTAATAATATTAGCTATAAATAATAACCTATGGGGAAATCTCCCTGAATTCGCCTTCCTCTTGGCCTGACTGAACTTCTTTTGAGGGATCCACGGGTTGCATCCGTGTTGAAATTGCGCAATGGTTGGAGGTCCTTTCTCATAGTTATTCAAATGAATTCATAATACAGCTAACCTATGCTCCGTAGGTCTCATGTTTTAACATAGGCTTGCCAAGGAGATATACCCTCACCTCCTTGGACACGGCTTAGAAATCGCTTTGTACGATCCATAAGTTGTCAGAAATTCGTTTGCGAATCGCTGTAGTTCCGTATCATTACACTTTTCATTATTGGCGGCGATTGCACCCACTAGGTGTCCTTGAAACGCCTTTGACAGCAGCGCCGCGTACGAAAGACGGAGGGAAAGGGAATCCTGAAAATCGTTTAGTGCAGAGGACTCGACGAAGTAACGGGGGGAGTACTGTCCAGCCTGGGAAAGGACCGCTCCAAATCCACAAAGAACATTAAAAGTCTCATTATCTAATTTATTCTCACCCCCTCAGGAGGGGGCAGAGGGGAAAGCAGTTGAAAACTTTTCGGCTTAACAGGCCTTGACAGCTTATAAGATATGGCACCCCATTAAGGGCTCGAAGTCCTTTCTGGGGCCGGACAAACTATTGTCATGGAAGGCACAAGAACTCCAACGGCAGAAGCACAGCTTGCGACATGATGACTCGACGGCGACTGGGGAGTCGTGAACGCGGCGGACGCGATAAGACTCCCAGATCCGTATCATCCCCGAATCGGGAATGATGACATCGGGGACACCATCCAGCCTTGCAATTCCTGGTCCGCCTCCGCGATTAATGGCGTCCACTTCCCGGGAAGCTCCATCAACGTGACAAGGGTTAGACCTTCACTTCTGCATATTGCACAATCTGAAAAAGCTAGAGGCATCAGACGTAGAGGAGACCTTTCACATGGATAAGATCACCCAAGGAGTGTCTTAATCATGGAGATCATCAACCCTATTCATCCCTTGCCTCTTTTTTTCGGTAAGGATGTACCCAACCAGATGACAAAGTTTCCCAATTTCCCGAGGCGACACAATGGTGACTTCCCCCTTCGCAACCCTCAGCACGCCATCATTTTCTCGAACCTCCAAAAGCCCACACGTCATTCCAGACGATATTTCACGTTCTCCGCAATGGGATCGACGCGGATGCACAGCAACTCGGTCCTCGTTTCAGGCCTCTTCCCACAGAATCATGGGGCATTCCGAGGAAGCAAACGTAGTAGCATGCGGCGCCTCGCCTGGTCCGACATCTATCCCACCCGCAATGAACTGCGTAGTTTCCCGAGCGGCCTGAAGATGTCACTAGAGAGCATCGGCCTCCCTGTAAATTCGGATCGCAGCTGATCCCGAGGCTGACTCAGGTTCCCGCCCCCGGCCGAGGAATTTCTGCTGACTTTTTCCTTTTTTTCAGACCGCATTTCGGCTAATGCACGTCGAAACGTGCACGCTCTTCGGAAGTTCGGCTGCTATGCGT